TTTTGCCATATTCATATTATAATAAAATAAATAGTAAATATTAATATTAAAACGTTATTACCCACAAAACGTGGTATTTCCTTACATTGTAAGAATTTTTGAAAGTTGATGAGAACATGGACGTAACATGGTCCTCACTAACCTTAGCCTATTGTTTTGACATGAGGGATCTTCAAGATCCTTCAGCGGGTAAGGTCACCTTCGGCAAACATTAGGTCACAAGCCTATGTTTGGGTAGGCGTTTGCCTATGGAAATCACAAGTTTTTTCTGGCTTCATCATGAAATACTTTTGAGCTAGGGATAGTGGTTACAAAGCACCTAGCAGTATTATTTTAATCATTCTTTCTCTTTTTATAACGGTCCTTCAAGTCTAAGTTCAAGACTGCTTGCTATTTTGATTAAATAATATTATTTAATTACGCAAAATCTTAATTAAATGTTGGACAAGTACACTCTAGATAGGTGTGGAACTTTTTTTATAATTAGAGGCCGCAGTAAGGTTGCTTATGGATACTGCAACATTTTTTTTTCTATTTTAATGTTACAATTTTTATTTGTCACAAAATATACACACCCATATACATATATTTCACTTAATTCTATTAATTTTCAAATTTTCGTAACCAAAACTAAATTAAATATTAATTAAATCTAGCGCTAGATTAATAAATATCCCGCAAAAAATGTTTGAAGACCGCAGTTTCTCCACCTATGCTACAGATACAAGCTACCTTACAGTAACTTGTGTTAACAATTTACTGTATTAAAGAGTTGTAAATAAATTTATGAATAAATCATACATAAAAAGAACCTAATATTTGACTATTATTGAAAGTCACGACGTCCACAACGATTTGGTTTATTTACACTTACTTTAATAAGGGATTATCTCAGATCCAGAGTTTTAAATATTATCAACTCATAGTTGTTTTCTTTTCTATAAAAAAAGATAAAAGTTACGAATTTTCTATTAAACTGCAATTTAAATACTATATATTAAAAAATATAGTAAAGTTCCGAATTGTAGCATATCTAAATATATCAAAATGTGGGATGCATGCCATGAATATCACTCATACATAGAGAGCCACTCTCACCATGATAAAGCTTGAACAGGAAGAACTTAGAATAACATCTACCTCAGTGGAGTAGCTTATTATTTTAAAAAGCGAGAGACACAGATGACTAACTTTTTGTTAGATTGTAGATGAAGTCAACACCATCACCAAATAATGTTTGAAATATCTACGATATAGCGAAGGTCCAGGGATTTGCTCCGATACGTCCCAACGAGTTGGCAAACTTATTAAAGCGATAAAATCATTTCTAGTATTTGCCAAAGAGAAGAGGTAATTGTGTAAACTTGTTCGTATGAAAAATAATTTGGAAAGACGAATACAATTTTCAGGTATTTGGATCCATGACCGGAAGAAATTAGCTCTCAGTTCTATAAGTGTCTATAAGTATAAGTGTCTATAAAAATTAAAAAGAATACTTTACAAAATAGTTTATAAAAAGATCATGAAAACCGTACATTTCTTTGTTCTAGTTTTACTATTGAGCTTGATAATGGTTCAATATACTGATCTATCTTTCTTACAATTTAACACTTCTTTTTTTTTCCTTTGTATAAAAACTTTAATGAACGGCATAATATAATTAAGAAATAAAAGAATTAATAATTAAAGTATAAAAACATACTAATTGTTTTTTTTTACAATCATGTGACATTGTAGTCCGTGGTACAGACGCATTTTTATCAAATTATTAACATCCTGCGGAAACTTCGTAAATAGCTTCATCTCATTGTAACCTGCAAATATTTTATTTACGAAAATATTCGGAATTGGGGCGTTTTCAATCTGGAGAACAGTATACATTTTCTCTTTAATTAGGTACTAAAAACTGGAGAATGCCCATTTGCTTTCCACTTGAATTGTAAGATAATTTGAGCACGAAGTCAATAAAAAAGGTGGCCTTCTAAAATATTTAGCCGTTTGGCGTGAACTGCATCCCTAAATTGTCAATATAACGAGGTTATCTAGGCCAAACAGCCCAACATTTTTGTTGGTCACCTTTTTTGTCGATTTTGTGATCAAATTATCTTACGATAAGTGGAAAGAAAATTGGGTATTTACAATTATTTAATACCTAATTAAATAGACAAAGGTTGCCGACCTACAGATTGAAAATGTCCCCCTTCTGAGAATTTTGGTAAATAAAATATTTGTAGGTTACGATGAGATGTACGAAGTTTCAGCCGGATATTAATAATTTGAAAAAAGGGTGTCTGTACCACGGACTATTGTAAGTGTACGTAAATTTGACTTATTACGTGACCAAAACCTTCATAAAAAGAATAAAAATAAAATTTAAAACGTATTAAATTTTCAAAACCAAATTGGTCTGGTTGGACAGACAAAAATCCTTAAAAGGTATTTTAAAAATAATGTAATGTTTAAATTGAAAATACAGGCATGTTTTAGCGCTTATTTTGATTCGTAATAATTATTTTTTTATATATTCCCGTATTACATGATTAATTTTTTTTTAATTTACGGATTGTTAGTTTTCATTTCAGGTTCCATTCTAACTTTTTTATGTTCTCTACGTTTAAACGTATTGGTGGTTTCTTTTGGTAAATTCTTTATCCCGTAAGTGATTGTGAAATCCGCATAGTTATAAATAAATAAATATACGAAATAATCGTTAGATAGATTGTTGTATTCCCTTTATAGATTTTTTTTTCAATAAAATAAATGCAAACAAATCAATACAAATTTCTAAGTATTACGGAAGGAGGATGTGCTGAGCTTGCGTTGTGATTTGCTAGTAAATCAGCAGATATCTAATTAACAGAGGCATGCCGTTGACCAAATTATTTGCTGTACTTTCCGGGAATATTTACGTTTGCTATTTATAAAGGGATGATCTAGATATTTTTATGAAATATGTTTACTAATTTTATAAAATCTATCTATCAGTGACTTAGCAGCTTGATGGATCGCTGTAAAGCTACACATTGTCGAGTTTCGATATGGTCTGCTTATCAGCTGTGATATTGGATAAGTTTTAGCTACCATTATAACCTTTTTTTTTTTTTTACAAAATGATTATTTTTTGTCTATTTAAATCTATATTAGTTAATAGCTCTGAAATGGTTATAATTCAAGTTGAGACGAGATGTTTAGCTGATAAAAAATATCAGGGAACTGTACCATATTATTCTATTAGAGCGATCGCGTGAGCCATGCATCACTCATGGATCCTGTCACATTTTAAGTGCATTTGAATTTATAATATTGTGAGAAATATGTCCGCTATAGCTTTATGGTAATTCTACATACCAGATTAAGAACATTTTTTATCATTTCTCCGCCAGAGAAAGATGGATTGTCTTACCATAGCGAAAAGTATGTCCCACGCGCTACGACCGTTATCTGTTCTCCAATGTGGTCCAAACTTGAAACTAGGACATCCTAGAACCTGAATAAAATAGTTGACACCAGCTATGTATCCGAAGATATTAATAATATATGTTAATAAGGTAAATTAGAATGAATTTTAAATAACCATGCAATAATTATGGAAAAAATAGGAGAAAATCATCAAAATATTACGGCTATTTTTATTTTCTGAAACTGGTCCTTATTATAAATCTAAAATTTATTACCAAAAACTTATTCATAAAATCCTTTTCCCCTTTTTAAACTTAGTGAACCGAATTCGATTAAACTCACGGGTAGTTACGAATAAAAAAATAATATAAAAAGTATTCGGAAATTTGCAGACAAATATTTTACAATTGAAGGGCTAGGGACACGAATATGATAAACCATTTTTTATATTGAAGAAAAGTTGGATTTTCAATTAATGAAAGTAAAAAGCAAAAATAAATATAACGTTATATATTTTTTCTTTACTTTGTGCAAAATATAATTTATTTATTTTACTTAATATTCCCATTGACTGAATACTTCAACCAATTTCGCTTCAATATATTCTCTACAGTCAAAATATATTCACTATATAATTTAGGTAAATGTATTGTTTTTTAATGCGAGCCAGTTTCAATTGCATTAAAAGTTCACTGTTGTGTATAAAAAATAGTTTAATGGATGAAAAGTCACACATTTTGCTCAAAAATAAAAATTCAATTTAGGGGAAAAGAATTCAAAGTATTTTTTTTTAATTATTTATTTATGATATTTACAACTGTATATTTAAAAAACACATTCTGTAAATGTGATAACAGATAATAAAAACATGAAAACACTTGTTAAGAAACTGCCTACTGGTAGCAGCATTCTAAAACCAAAAAAAAAAAGTATTTACAATAGGAGATCTCAAGGCCATCTTCTTTTCAGACGCCTCGGACGGCCAAGTAATTTAAAATAAAAACTGTTGTTTTTTTTCGTAAATTATGAAACCACAAAAAACCTTACATTAATTATTAAAAATTATATAATAGTGGGTTGATGGTTGAATGTCGTGAATAATGAAGAGAAGGATAGTTGGGGTGATCAGTCAGAAATAAAATGGCAAAAATAAATAATAATATTTATTTTAACACATGCAGAAGTTCAGGCCGTCATCAGGGCTGTTCGAAGAGATTGCTTGAATAGAGTGGGTAAAAATGATACAAAATCCACAAGGCATTTTTTCTAAGTTGATTCAGCTCCATATTGTATATCCACTTATTAGAATATCGTAGTAAAGTGGAGGAATGCATGGTAGGGAAGCTTTAGCAGATTTTTTTTCTGTGTGTGATCTCATATTTTTTAATGAAAAAAATGATGGTTTCTAAGTAAATATTACAGTTTTTTTTTTAAATCAACTACTATCCCTTACTTCTTCTTCTTGACACATGTATTCTTGACACAATCGATATTTAATTTCTTTTGGACATAAATGCATTTATTTTTATTTTTTTTTATATTTCAAATACAATTACTAATACAATTACAATAATTAATACAATTACAAATTGTTGTTACAGGTAAATCTTGCAGAGGTTGGCCTGGGGATCGTCACCCCGATACTGCACTATGGGTGCTGTTTCAGCTTTCAGTAACGTAAGCTTGCGATGTATTTTTTAACTTAATTTAATAAATATAAAACGAATATGAATAAAATATATTCAATTAATATAATAACCTACGCCTTAAAACTATCACCTTGTGGTACTATTAGTGAGGAGGGCACTTGGTTTCTTCGATAGTCTCCCATACTTTTCATACGGGTTTTTTATAGAGAGACTTTTTACCAATCAATTGGCTTATTGTTGGTAATAAAATATGAAACAAAACAAAAATTAAAAGTTTGATTGATTACCGTTAAAGAACTTTATCTACTTCTTAAAATTTAAATTGAAGTGTTAATAAATTTGTTGATTTGATATGTTTTAATGATAGAACACATACAATGAATAACATAAACAAAACACAAAAAAAAAAAAAACTACTCTTTTTTTAATTTAATTTTTTTTTTAGTTTGTATAAGATAAATATTAGAAATATATTAACCAACCGATATATGTGTTATGTATAGATGTATCTTTTTTAAATTAAGTGAAATTTTTTTTTAATGATGAATCCATTGGTAATTTCATTGGCACAAAAACAATAGTAGTATAAATTATAAATATGATTGATAAATTTTAACCAATATTATTTTATAACACTAATATGAGAAAAGAACAAAACTAATTTCTAATATTTAACCCTACTTATTATTAGGTATAAGGATATTGCTAGTAATAAATAAAACTATAAATAAAGCTATGAAAAGTAGAGTTAAAAATAGGGAGAGTTAAAAAAACTTCCTTCTTTTTAATATTTCGAAATATTATTTTTCTATTATTATCATAACCATGTCTTCTTGTCTTTGCTTAACCAAGATGAATCCCTAAAACGTCCAATATCAGCGATAGGCTCAACGTTGAGTAATAGGACTCGCCCTAATTTTATTTTGAGTTTATTTCCGATTGATAATAAAAATACAATTTTTTTTTTGTGTGGTTCACTTCGGCTGTGGTCCCTAAAAAAGAAGAAAAAAAAAATACTTGTCGCACATTCATTCAGAGTTGTCATTGCGAGTTGTCATTCCTATGTACAATATTTACATTCAGTCTAGAGAACTCTGAACCATGGCTTGCCGCTCTCATGTAAAAGGCAAGGCAGGACTCAATTAGGTAGTAACAACTAATAAATTACCACTTGCTTTCCAATTAAATTGTAAGATAATATGATTAGAAAATCGAAAAAAAAATGGTGTTCTACAAAAATATTGGACCGTTTGGCCTATAAAACCTCGTTATTTTGAGGTGGTTAGTTTGAATTTTGGAGGTGGAGGTAGGGAAGCTTTAGCAGATTTTTTTTCTGTGTGTGATCACTCCATATTATCTTACAATTCAAGTTGAAAGCATATAGGTATTAGTAAGTTTTTAGAACTTATTTAAATAGTAGTGGATTTAGTCATTCTCTCCTGCCTTTTAAACAGTGATGCGGCTGGGAGAGAAGCGCTGGGATCTCTTTGAGCCCTGCCTTGCCTTTCAAGTGAGAGCGGCAAGGCATGGTTCAGAGTTTTCTAGGCTGAATGTAAATACTATACATAGGAATGAATGTGCGATGAGTATATTTTTTTTTTTCCTTCTTTCGTATTCATTCAATGTATTTTTTTTCTTTCTACAAGTTTTTCTTTTTCTTATTTTAATGTATATATTTTTACTTACATGTTTCTTCTTATTTTATTCTTTTATTAATTTATATATTAAATGCATGGATTTAAACATAGAGCCATAATACTTAATGTCCTAGATTGTGGCAGATTATTATTTTTCTTCAATAAAGTTCAATTTTAATAACTTTGCCAATCCGTCCAGATTAAAAACGTCTCGAATCCTAGAATTTTCGCAAAAAAAATATTTGTAGGTTACGATGAGATTAAACTATTTGCGAAGTTTCTGGCGGATGTTAATAATTTGATAAAAGGGATCTGTACCACGGAATACATCGACAGCCACGTTACAAATTCCTGTAAGTACAAAAACTGAAAATATTTAAAAAATGGAAAAATATTTTGAATTTTTATGTTAATAAAGAAAATTTCTGTTTAATTTTTATTGCATTTTAAGACGAAAGATAAAATATTTTATACAGGTGGAGAAATAGTTGACTGCAGATTTAGTAGAAGTTTGTTAGGGTCTGCAGTTCAGACGGTTACACAACGCCGAATTGCGTGAACTGTATCCGGGTAATATAATTGAGGTAATTTCGTCGAGGCGAATCAAATGGGCTTGTAAAGTTGTTGGGCTTAGTAACGAGAGAATTATTAAAAGATTAATATTTGCTGTGCCGAATGGTAAGCGTCCGAGGGGTAGACCGAAACGAAGGTGGGAAGATTGCATTAAAGCCGATCTGAAGGGATTGGGTTTGGACGGCGAACGGTGGAGGGAGGTGTGTAATAAGCGATTGGTGGTGTCGGCATCGAACCTTTAGGTTCGCTAAGCCTTTTATTATTATTATTATTATTATTGTTAGGATCTGCAGTCGAAGTGAACCATATATAAAAAAAAAAAAATGATTTTCTTTGTCAATCGGAAAAATACTCAAAACCCTATCTCACAATATAATTGGTTAATAATTTGATAATAAGGGGCCTGTATTATGGAGTAATTTATCCTATCATTTATCCTTAATAAAATTATGAAGTGTTATTATCCCATATTTCATTAATGTTTGATTAGATGTGATGATACGCCAATGTAATTAAGATAAATTAAACATAGTGGAGCTGATCTGGAAAGGGGCAGGGGGGGGGGAGAGAGGGAAGGAAAGGGGGTGTGGGAATTGGCGAAGCTCTTGACGAGATCGAATGCCACCCGACACCAGTGGCCTCCTTGCCTGTTTGTTCTACGCACCAGCTTCCTCGGCTCCTCCGTCGTCCCCTCTGCTTCGCTTCATTATAATCTGCATAAAATGGTCAGTCAGGACCAAGTATCGTCAGTTAAACACACTACTGTTACCGGCTGTGGTAGTAAAAAGATATATTTGAATCATTTTAATTATTATAAAAATAACATTTGCAACCTTATTTTTTTATGCCGGCTTCACAGACTTTTTAGATCTTTTGCCGCCTTGGTTTCCCGCCATTTGCCTTACAGCTCCTTGGCATATTTGTTGATTTGAACTACACATCTGGAGTTTGGCCTCCCACGTTGTCTCTTGACTAATATTGGGGCGTTCATTGTTGTGTCGAGGCTTCTTTATGGATTGCTGTGAGCTATATGTCTCGCACATCTTAACCTCCTCGCCTTCATATCATGAGATATTGATTGACCAGTTTCTGTAAGCAGTTCTTTATTGGTTTTTCTCATCCATGCGGATTTTACTCTCAAATCGTATTAAACTTCTTCCTAGGCCGCTGATCGGTATCACAGCCGTTTATGAGAGCAGGCTTTTATCACATCATTGTACACCCAAAATTTCTTTAGGTTATTTTTTTCCGGCTCACTATGTATATTTCTAAATATTTCGTAAGTAGTAGTGCTGCTTGAATTCGCCCTCGGTATACTGAATATCCACAGTCGAATTATAGTGACATATTTTTTAATATTGTTAAACATAGGTGCAGACTTTTCATTCTGGTTGAGGAAGGGGAAGAGGAGAGGAGAGAAGGGCGATGGACCTGTCAAGGGTGTTTATATTATGTATAAAAATTATGAGTGATCATTAAATTAAATCTTATAAAACAAACAATAGATTACAACTGTAGTTAACCGAAGTTACTTAACAACAAAATTATGAGGTTCGCTTCCTGGTGGCCAGAGGGTCTTTTAATTTAACTCTGACATTGATCCCCCGCCCTCACCCACTTGCCCGGGGAAACCCTCGTATAGCCTAAAAGACGAGATAAGCGGAAACAAAAAAAATTACTATATATATATATATATATATATATATATATATATATATATAAAATAAACTATATACGTTTAGATGTCACTTTACGAGTTATCAAATATATATTTGAAAATATGTTAACAAAGTAATTGAATATAGTACATATTTTTATTTAAACGTTTGAGGCAGTGAGTGAAATGAACTTTCAACCCTTCGAATCTCACATCATGCTTCACATGAATGAATAATAAAATCCTATAATATAATATAATAATACAATTATATTACATATAATTATCCTTGAATATAAACTAAAATTTCAATAATAAGAAAATAGGACATAGGGCAAGTAAAATACTTCCGTACCCACATCTAGACCTTAGCTTGGCCATATTGTCGACTTTTATTTGCTTAATCGATTTTAGTTTACTTATATTATTCACTCATGTAGATTAATTCTTATTGATTGTAATTTTATTTTTGCACTTCGAATTATGGGAGAGGGGAGCGAAACAATGTTCTCACCCCTCTTTATTTTTATTGGAAGGACGAAACAAAAACAAAAAAAATTCTGGAGAATTCGAATATAATAATCACATAATATCGCAAATATTCCCTGAATTTTATAATATTTTTTTTCTTACTACATTCTCACAAAAATCATTTATGGTTTACTACCTTATTATGAATTTTTTGGTTAAATTTACATAGGGATCAGAGTTTAGTACTGTATTTGTTTTTTTCGATGTCTAGGCGCAAAACATCCAGGTCATTATCGCCCCATCAACTGAAATAAATAAAAACAAAGGATAAAAAATATTGATAAAATAAAATAAATAAATAAATACACTTAAAGATAATAATAATAAGATAAAATAGATAAATAAATAAACTTAATAAAATCAATAAATTAATTGAAATTAATAAATACAAGTACTTTAAAAACTAAAAAAAAAAAGTAATAACATTAATAAAAAAAAATCGTAAAGGATCATTAGTGATAAACGTTTCATATATGTTTATAAGACTTTCATTGTGTAGGAACTTCATAACTTTAGTGATGATTTCTTCCTGGTTTCCCAGTGATTTGACATACTCTGGGGTATTGCTCTCTTAAAATCGTTGGAACCTCTTTTCGGCCATAATGGTTTAAGATTAAGCGATTATCGTTG